GCCTGTGGTCCCAGCTACTTGGGAGGCTAAGGCAGGAGACTTGCTTGAGCCCAGGAGTTGGAGGTTGCTGTGAGCTGTGATGCTACGGCACTTTACCCAGGGGGATACCTTGAGGCTCTATCTCAAAAAAAAAAAAAAGAGAGTGTAACTTCATTAATTGCTATTGTGGAATAATAAGGAGTACATTTGTATAAATACCGCACGCTAACTGATTGTGCCAGTGGAACTCCTAATGAGTACATTTGTCTTATGAAAGTTTCTGTGGATGTGGGGGACATTTTACTGATTTTAAGATTTTATTTTCTATTGTTTATAGCCACAAACACAACCTGTGAAGCAAGTATAAAATCATTTTTCTGGCCTCTGTTCCTATTTTTATTTATTTTTTCTTTTATTATTTTTGTTTCCTATTTTTAGTTGGCAATAGCCAAGAATAACATCATTAAACTCCAAGAAGAAAATCATCAATTACGAAGTGAAAATAAATTGATTTTAATGAAAACACAGCAGCATCTAGAGGTGAGCATAGATTGCTTTCAAACACTCTTCTGTGTTAGAAATTAACACTTTTAAGGTCTTTTCACAAAGTAGATATTTTTGTGTTAGTGATTATAGAATAAAAAGGTTTTATGTTTTCTTCCAAGGTTACTAAAATAGATGTGGAAACTGAGCTTCAAACATATAAACATTCTCGGCAGGGGCTGGATGAAATGTACAATGAAGCCAGAAGGCAGCTTCGAGATGAATCTCAGTTACGGCAGGTAGGTAACTTTGAAGTTACTTTAGCAAAATCCTGGGAATAACTTAACCTCAAGCAAGCACCATCTCAAGTCTCTTTCAGCCCTACCTGCCTTATTTTATTTGGTGTGGGATAGCAAACTCACCCCTTAATACTCTCAAATTCTTTTTTTTTTTTTTTTTGAGACAGAGTCTCACTATTTCGCCCTCAGTAGAGTGCTGTGGCATCACAGCTCACAGCAACCTCAAACTCTTGGGCTTATGCGATTCTCTTGCCTCTACCTCCAGAGTAACTGGGACTATAGGCGCTCACCACAATGCCCAGCTTTTTTTTTTTGTTGCAGTTGTCACTGTTGTTTAGTAGGCCAGGCCGGGTTCGAACCCACCAGGCCGTAACCACTGTGCTACAGGTGCTGAGCCAATCCTCTCAAATTCTTTAAGATTCTGCTATATCAATGGTTTTTAAACTGTTGAGTTACAGTCTATAGTTGTAAAATGAATGGGATGTGACCAGCATTACAAAAAATGAAAAATAGAAGATATAAAAGGACATATTTAAATATTAGTAAAACATTCTCTTTTTTTGAGTCAGAGCCTTAAGCTGTTGCCCTGGGTAGAGTGCTGTGGCATCACAGCTCACAGCAATCTCCAATTCCTGGGCTTAAGCGATTCTCTTGCCTCAGCCTCCTAAGTAGCTGGGAATACAGGCACCCACCACAACACCCAGCTCTTTTTTGGTTGTAGTTGTCATTGTTATTTGGCAGGTCCAGGCTGGATTCAAACCCACCGGCTCTGGTGTACATGGCTGGTACCTTAGCGGCTTGAGCTACAGGCGCCGAGCCGAGTAAAACATTCCTTAAATGACAAACTTATTGAAATGGAGAGCACATTTGTTTCCAGGATCAGGGGTGGGTGAGAAGGAAGGAAAGGAAGGAATGATGTGACTCTAAAATTTAATGTGGGGGGGGTCCTTGAGTGATGGAATTGTGGTCTGTATCTAGACTCTGGACCATATCAATGTCAGTGTCTTGGCTGTGACACTGTACTACTGGTATAGTTTTTCAAGACATTAGTATTAGAGGAAATGAGGTATAAGGGTATACAGATATCTATCTTTTCTCACAAATGCATATGAATTTGCAGTTATCGTAAAATAACACATTTAATTGAAAGCAAAAATAGATGGGTAAAATCATATTTAAAATTAACTTTTTTTTTTTTTTTTGAGACAGAGTCTCACTTTGTCACCCTTGGTAGAGTGCCTTGGTGTCACAGATCACAGCAACCTCAAACTCTTGGGTTCAAGTGATTCTCTTGCCTCAGCCTCCTAAGCAGCTGGGACTATGGGTGGCTACCACAACACCTGGCTATTTTTTAGAGATGAGGTCTTGCTCTGGCTTAGGCTGGCCTCGAACCTGTGAGCTCAGCCAATCCACCTGCCTTGGCTTCCCAAGTGCTAGAATTACAGGCATGAGCCACCATGCCTAGCCCTAAGAAATTTCTTTCTTTTTTTTTT